TCCCCCTCAGGGTTGGTGAACTTGGTATACAGCTATTTCGAGAAAGGTTGTCGGAAAAACTGTGCACGCGACAATCACGAAAGGTAATATGGGATATGATCGATGCACTTTTCCTGACGCTGTAGCTGCTGAATCTACTTTTGCTGCTTTTGTTAAGCACTCGCAAACATAAGTCTATGGCCTCTTGTGCCATTCTTTGAAATTTCTTTGAAAAACAGTGAACTCAAAATCACCCACAATACCTTTCGGGATTGTCTCGTGCACTTTTTCCAACAACCTTTCTTGAAATAGCTCTATATCCACCACTATTCACCTCCCCTTCGTGGGATAGTTGTAAAATATACGTTGATAGTGAAGCATTTTTCTTTTCCTTTTAGTTTTCTAAGGTTCACTGTGTGTTGCATACAAGTCAGTCACCTGTCAATGCAGTTGCCATTGCTGACGATGGCGAGGGTCCAGTTCTGGCCACTGGGGGAGACAATGGAATTGTAAAGGTCCTTCGCTGGTTTCCACCAAGTATACAGAATGATTAAAACTTCCCAAGAGGTACAATTCAATGTAGTAGTGACAAGTGAAAGTCGGGGAATACACGAACTTTTTAAAATGCAGCACCATTTTAAATTTATGCATAATGAAAGATGAGATATTATTTGGCTAGAGTTATCTGACCAGGTTATTATTAATTTTATACAAGTACAAGAGAATTTAATTTATTTATTATTTTGTATGTAAGGCCTGATTCAAGTGAAAACAACAACAATTACCAAACCAAACTGATTCAAATGCTGTTCTTCTGTCATGCCTACTTTATCAGTTAAGTTGCGCCAGGCTCATGACAGTTTAAAACCAGGCGTAACTGAACATAAGAGACAAAGAGAAAGAATACATAGATATGAAGTGACACTTCAATTTATTGACCATTCTTTTTACTGAAAAATACAGGAAAGTTTAAATAAAAATTATGTATTTATAAAAAGTAACATTCAGCATAGTGTAATCTCTGATTATTAAGTACAAAACACAAATTAAAACTGCAAAAATGATTTTACAATCTTTGAAACAAAGATAGCAATAAGTGTTAGAACAAAAGTTGTATCATGATTCTTTTGCGTATGAAGTTACAGAATGTTGTTTTTAATTCAGTAAAAGTAGCCGGAAGTTCTTCAGGGCAAGTTAAGTTGTAGGGCTTGTATTATTAATATTGTCCATAAATAAAAATACAATGGCTAAGTAAACAAAATACATCAGCATAAGCACATGACCAAACTAGACAAAATTTGTCCCAGAGTGGGATCTCTTACGTAAACAATAATTGACAGTACTGTACTGTATGCACTGTTGTCATGGCATTGCTTTTTAATTCACTGAAAATCTCCCAAATAGTTGTTATGCCATGTTTTGGACACAACATCTATTCAATGGCAAAGCCCAAAACAAAGGACAAGTAGTAAGTTTAGATCACTTAATCTAAATCACGCTTAATTTCTTCAAAATAATACCAATGTTAAATAAACCAAAAAGCTCCCAAGATAATATTTAGTTTATTTTGCACAAAAATTGTGCACGTAATTTATTGTCCTCATCTTTGGTACTGTCCAACTCCTTACTCTACCAACTTTCTTCTGTTCGACCAAACTTGAAAACAATTGCACTGTTGATGAAAACAAAAGAACACATTTTACATTGATCAACAAAATAATTATAGCGAAAAAATAAGGGCTCACATGAAACACCTTCATCCCTTCACTTGTACACTAGTTTGTTTTCCATCATTGAAGAATTAAATGAGGCTCCTTTTGTTTTTAACCTTTATAAAACCAAGGTGCAAAGAAAGTCAGTTTTACAGCCTGCCATTTGGGCAAGCTGTAGCTAGCCTGTACTAGCCCACAAGTAATTTCAACTAGCCCTAAAACCCTTCTTTATTGGCAGGATTGATTACAATCCTTCTGTAATTTGAATTTCCCAAAAAAACAGCACTTGCCTGTCGGGAAAGTCAAGAACAAAAATCACTAGCCAAATAGCAAAATCCACTAGCCCCGGGCTATCGGACACGACTTTCTTTGCACGCTGAAAACTCCAACATCCACAAACAAATGCCCTCGTCTGATTTCCATACATTTCCTTAGAGAACTAGTTGAGAGAATTTGATAAAAGATCAAAGCAATTTTCCTTTCATGGTTGTTTTATTACAGTGTAATTCTCTTAACCATTTCTTTTAAATTGTATTATTATTGTCAGGAGAAAATTGATGTTGGTCTCTCTTGGGACTAATAAAATATTACCCTTGAGAGTGAGCTTAGGTTTAACTAATACAATGACTTGCCTGAAGAAAATCAAAGCATTTTGCAAGAAGATTGCAACACCTGGCCAGGGGTCAGGTTTAGCTGAAAACAAAAATAGTATTGATAACTATTACACACATGGTCATGGAAACATTAGGGCCATTTATACGAGGAAAAATAAGATGCGTCTTACATAAGACGTGTCTTAAATAAGACGC